AATGAAATCCAAAATGGGATTGGGTATGTGGCTCAGTGGTCAATATATAAATAGATAAATAAATAACATACCAGAGCTAAACAATTTAGGGTTACAGAAAGAAGGAAAATTTATTTTGGCTCACAGTTTAAGAGGTTTCAGTTGCTTGGCCTGTGGCCTTTGGACCTATAGTGAAGCAAATACATCATGTAAGAGGGCATAGCAGAGGAACTGCCTCACCTCATGGTGGCCAAAAAGCAAAAATGGAGGGACCAGCATCCCAGTATCTCCTTTGCAGGCACACCCCCAGTAACCTAACTTCCTTCCATCAGGCGCCACCTCCTGAAGGTACTACCTCCTCCCAGTAGTGCCACAGGTTGGGTACCATACCTTCAACACAAGGCCTTTGGGGGACATTGAAGATCCAAACTCTAGTAGTCACCAAGCCCTGATTCTAGATAGGTCAGTCTCCAAGAGGATTAAACTATCATGTCAAGCAGAACTTACTTCTTATGATCACTTATAAACTTACTTTCCCTTCTGAAACTGCAGGTTGAGTATTCCTGGCTTCTTTGACCCATTCCTTGAATGTGGGCAACATCAATTTCAATTTTCTGTAACAACCAGTCAAGTATATTCCAGATTTTAAGGGTATTTTCTACTTAGGTTTGGAAATTCTTATCTCACAGACTGACTTCTATGAATTGCTGATACTATCCATTATTTCTAAGCTTAAATTTAAGGACACATCTAATTCCAGGTTTTGGCAGGTCCTGTCACCCTCTTTGTATTTGATATACTCTGCTTTGACAATTGTGAAACATTGTTGTGAATATATTCAATGGCACAGTTTTCTTCGAGAATGAATTTTATTTTCAAATAACAGTAGAAAATCAGACACATGTTGGCTGAGTCAGGACAAAAATATCATCTTTGTCCAAGTATCAAATCAACAAAGTTATAATACTGTCTTGAATACTATATTAAAAATTCTTAGAGGGAAGTGTTCTAAAATGTTTTGAGCAATGAGAGTAAACAATTAGAATAATTTCCTAAGTTAATTCTGATGAATTTGTGTATAAGCTTTTAATGATATTTCATAATTTTATATATTATATGCTCCACCTTGTCTGTGAAAATTTCTCTTATTTTTCAAGTTGAACTCTGAAACCTGGAACTCGGTGGTCCTTATACTTTTTGGTCTCAGGACTGCATTAAACATTTTAAAATTATTGAGGTTTCAAATAGCATTTGTTTATATGGGTTATTATCTGTCAGTGAAACAAATTTAAAAATTATCTTCATGTACAAGTAACAATGATAAACCCATTGAATGTCATTATTAATAATACATATATTTATGAACAATAATTGTATTTTCCTAAACAAATTTCATGAGAGAAGTGCATTGTTATGTGTATTTGCAAGTCTTTAATGTATGGCTTAATAAAAGTTAACTGAGTTTATTTCCTGTATCCAGTCTATTACAGTGTGTGGTTTTGGTTAAATAAGTCTATGAAGACCATCTATCCTCTTGGAGATGGGTAGTTGGAAAGGGGAGGAGCACTCACGATCTTTTCAGATAACTGGATATTTTTCTTTAATACTGCACCAAAGCTTCTCTGGTAGTATTTCTAAGGGTTAATTGCAGTGTGCAATAAAAAAATTTATTGTATCTTTGCATACATTAAAATTCACTGATACATCTCATACTTTGTGTGTGTATGTGTGGTACTGGGGATTGAACCTAGGGGTGCACCACCATTGAGCTACATCCCTAGCCCTTTATTTGTTTTTGGAGAAAGGGCCTTGCTAAGTTCTGAGACTGGCTTGACAAACTTGACAGTTCTCCACTCTTAGCCTCCTGAGTTGCTGGGATTACAGGTGTGCACCACTGCTCATGGGTAATTTTATCTTGGACTTTGAGTAAATATTTTGCCCAAGAATTATTTCACATCATGATTTGGAACTTTGAAAATACTGGTTCACTGAATTTTATACATTGTACAAATCAGAGTTCAAGAAACAATCAATAGCTACTCCCTAGTAGCCACCAGGTCAATCTGTTTGAAATACAGTGCATTGAGAGGCTGAAGTAGGAGGATTGCAAGTTCAAAGCCAGCCTTAGCAATTTAGCAAGATCTTGTCTCAAAATAAAGAGTACAAAGGGCCAGGGATGTGTCTCAGGGATTACGCACCACTGGGTTCAATCTCTGATACCAAAAGAGAAACAACCAATATGATGGATAGATAGATAACAGATTTATTATGGGAATTGGCTTGTTTGATATGGAGGCTGAATCATACTGGATATATGTGGACAACAACCTAGAGGTCTGTGAAAACTGGTTGTATAATTCAGCTGGAGTCAGAAGGTAACTCGCACTTCAAGGCTGAAGCCTTGGCATATATGGGGGGCACTGATGTTAGGCCCAGAATCTCAAGAATCAAGGGCAGGAGAAGATTAATGTCCTGCTCTGTATAGGAGAAAGAACTCACCTTTCCTTTGCCTTTTTCTATTTGGGCCTTTGAAGGATTGGATGGTGCCCACCCACAGGGGTAAGGGTAGATTGGTTTTTACTCAATCTGCTGATCAAATGCTGTCTTTGGAAACAGACACACCCAGAAATGATGCTTTAGTAGCAGCTATCTGGGCATCTTCCAGCAGTGAAATTAACATGTAAAATTAACCATCACAGTCACCTTCAGGTTCAGTAAGTCACTAGAAGGACTCAGAACTCACTGACATCCGTGGCACTTGCCATGGTTTGCAGTAGCAGAAGAATGTGGGTTAAAATCAACCAAGGAAAAGACACATGGGTCAAAGTTCAGAGGGCTTCTACACATAGCTTCCAGTTGTCCTCTTTCAGTGGAGTTGTGGATAGGGCTAAATTCTCCCAGCACCGATGTGTGACAGTGGACAGCATTAGTTACTCACATGACTGGGCCCTGCCATACAGACATAGTTAACTTCCTACACAGCTGACCTCGGCTTCCAGTCTCTTAGACAAGACCTGGTATCTTATGGGCTCAAGACTAAAGATGCCTCAATCAGGCAGGACATTCTGAGGGTTTAGAGATGAGCCAATGACAAAGACCAGCCCTGTCTTTGGGCAAGGCTGAATTACTTACAGTATGCTTCCCATGTCCTCACAAGGAATATTTTCAAAAGTGTACCAAGGGTCATGATTTAATAAAATTACCTAAAACTAGTTTTGCTCTGTGAGTGCATGCTAGAGAAGAAAACAATATGTTCTTACTTCTCAACACCATTTCCTTGATTGTACTAGGTACTGACAGAACTTTTATGCCATCAGTGGAAATGTAAGCCCCAAGAAAAAAGGAAACATTGTCAGTAATGTTTTTTATATTTTTCTGAGGATGATTTTCACTGTGGCCATGCCCTCAGACTGCTCTCTCTGAGCACTGCATTTTTACCTTTTTTTGCTAGCTTGCAAGTCCCTTGAGGGTAGGTTTATTATCTTTTTTATCTTTGTAGTCTCCATTTTACCTAGCACAGGTAGGGACATCTGCATTTGTAAGTACAGGTATATTTACTTTGTACACAGTACAGTTCAACAAATATTTGTTAACATGTAGATGGTGCACACCTGTAATCCCAGTGACTTGGGAGACTGAGACAGGAAGATCACACATTTAGGCCAGCCTCAGCAGCTTAGACCCTGTCTTAAAATGAAAGGGTTGGGAATGTAGCTCAGTGGCAGAGTGCTTGCAGAGGGATTGAGTGTGTATTTCTGGGTTCTATCCCTGGTGCCATGAAAAATAATTTTTTTTTTAAATTAACATGTAGTACCTTTTCATCACTTCACTAACTCTTTCCGAAGCTTTTTCCTTTGGTTAAAAAAGAAATGCAAATAAAGGGTTATTGTTTTCTTCCTATTTGTGATATGTTTTATTTTCCCTTTTGTTATAGAAGAGTCATTGTCAAATCTGTTCTGATTTCCTGGAAACTTGAGAATTAGCATTGATTACATTTCTCTCATTGACATTTAAATCACTGATTCTGCTTCCTGTCATCCTAGCTACTTCTGTCATGGTGCAGGCACTCCTCCAGTTAGTGTGGCAGACTCCAGCCTTCTTTTCCCTACCTCATTTCACCATCCTCAGATCTACTCCCTAGTAGCCACCAGGTCAATCTGTTTGAAATACTGTCATAGTTCCTATTTACATAGTGCTTATTACTTTATGCCAAACACTTTTTTAGCACATTTAATCTTCATCAAGGGGGTTACCATTTGTTATCCTTGCTTTACAGAGGAGAAATCTTGAGGCCCAGAAAAGGGACCTAGCAGTCTGGATCTGGAGCCCCTACCATCTACCCTGCCAACTATGGGAAATTGCTTTTCACTATTTAGCTTCAAATCCCTTTTCTCGTCAACAGTAAGCTCCTAAACCTGGCATCTAAGACCTTCCATGCTCTGACTTCTCTCCTTAGGACTGTGCTACCTCCTGCTTGTTGCATACCACAAACTCTGCCATTTAAGTCTGTTACGGTTTGCCAACCACAGCGTTATTTATGACCTCTGCACTCTGGCTGCATTGTCCTGAATGCCTGGTACTCTTACTTAACTTTCAAGTAGTGGTGGTAGCTCCTCAAAGAAATTTTCCTCTCCCCTTTTTCTTTGCTCCCTCCCTACCAGACAGAATAGGGCAGATTAAAGTAGATAATTGTGTAACAACTGTGGTAAGATGATGATAAGGGGTACCTAAGGTAAATCTTTTCCAGTAAGCAGTTTGTCCCTATGTCCTAAGGTTGACTGTATTCCTTCAAAGACACAGACTCACTCTATGCCAGCAGTATTTGATACATAAACAGAAGTGAAATACTTTAAGGATAAACAAACAATATTCTCCTAAGTTATATTTCCATCTTCATATTTTCTCCAGTTCTCAAAATTATAAAGTTTATGGATTTGGGGGAAAATTTATAAATGTAGATTCTAGGATTTTTGTATCTTTTAAGTAAACAAGTTTTCCTTCTCTCTCTTTTCTTTTATAAGCTCCTTGCCCGACTTGAAGGTAGAAGTTCCTTGAAAGAAATAGAACCAAATCTGTTTGATGAAGATTCACCTGTGCATGGTAAAAACACAACTTCAATATAAATATAATTTAAGTTTTAATTTAAATATAATTTAAGTTTTATAAAAGTCCTCCCCCACATTCATATATACACACATACTCCTAGTTAGAAGCTAAATAGATCTAAACAGTACAGTTGAAAAGTAACAAAACAGTGTAACAAAGTTTTTAAGTCTTTGTATCAGATGAGATGAAGTTTGGCTTATGTGCCGTAAATCCTTAGAGTATACATTGACCTCCTTCTTTTTTCCCATCACATAATAGTATTTATGGGGGTTTTGTTGGTATGATTTATTTCCATTCTTTTTCTCTAGAAGTTTGCAGAGTTGCAGGGGAATCCTCGATTGCCCACTTGCTCCATTAGTATTTTTACAGCAGAGAAAATAGATGCTTACTTGTTCTATTAGCACTTGTACACTAAGAAAGATTTAGAAAGAAGGTAATGTATTTAGATTGTTATGTTTCTTTTAATATAACAGCTTTATAGATATATGATTTACTCATTTTGGTATGCTGTTCATTTTTAGTAGAGTCACACAGTTTTGCAACCATCACTATAATGGATTTTAGGACATTTTCATCCCCCATTAATGAATCCCATTCCAGGGCTGGGGCTGAAGCTCAGTGGTAGAGCGCTTGCCTAGCATGCACAAGGTCCTGGGCTCCATCCCCAGCACCACAAAGAAAGAAAGAAACTCATCCCTATTAGTAGTCATCCCATGTGTCTCAGCCCTAGGCAACTACTAATCCACTTTCCAACTCTAGATTTGCCCTTTCTTTTTATTTAATTATTCTTGTAATCATAATATGTGGTCTTTGACTGGCTTCTTTTACTTTACCTAATGTTTTCAGTGTTCTTATGGTAAGGTGTATCAAAAGTCCATTTCTTTTTATGGTTGAATGTTTCCTTTGTAGAGTATAGAACATTTTGTTTATCGATTGATTAGTTGACGTGCATTTGGGTTGTTAACATATTTTAGCTGTTAGGAATAATGCTGCTATGTTTACCAGTGTACAGTTTATCTGTGGATAGATGTCTTCAGTTCTCTTGGATAATACCTATGATAGGAATTGCTAGGTTATATGGTAACTATGTTTAACCTTTTGAGAAACTGCCAAACTGGTTTCCAAAGTAGCTTCACATTTAAGTTGTCACTAGCTTATGTATGTGTTATGTACTTATGCAATGTGTGACAGTTCCAGTTCCCCACATCTTGGAAATAGTTTTTACTGTCTTTGTGATAATAGCCATCCCAGTCAGTGTGAACTTGTATCCCATTGTGATTGAGATTTATGTTTCCTTGATGGCTAATGATGTTGAGCATCTTTACTGACAGTTTGTGTATCTTCTTTGGAGAGATGTCAAAACCTTTGCTCATTTAAAAATATTGGGCTGGGCACAGTGGTGCATACCTGTAATCCCTGTGGCTCAGGAGGCTGAGGCAAGAAGATCATGAGTTCAAAGCCTGCCTCAGCAACTTAGCGAGGTCCTAAGCAATTTAGCCAGACCCTGTCTCAAAAAAAATTTTTTTAAAGGTAGTGGGGTGGCTTCATGGTTAAGTACCCCTGGGTTCAATCCTTGGTGCCAAAATAAATAAAAATAAAATAAAAGTATTGGGTTGTCTTTATTGAATTTTTAGAGTTCTTTACATATGACAGGTAAAAGAAACCCTTTATCATATATATATGTTGCAAATATTTTTATCCATTCTGTAGGTTGTCTTTGTCTTGATAGTGTTCATTGAAGTACAAAAATTGTTAATTTTTGTAAAGTCCAATTTATCTTTTTTTAATTGTTTTAAATTTATTTGTTCTTTTTAGTTATATATGACAGTAGAATGAATGTTGATATATATACATGGAGTATAACTTCCCATTCTTGTGGTTATACATGATGTGAAGTTACACTGTCATGTATTCATATATGAACATAGGAGAGTTGTCTTCAATTCATTCTACTGTTTTTCCCATCCCCTTCCTCCCTCACTTTCCCCCATTTCTCTCCTGTCCAATCCTATGAACCTCCATTCCACCCCCCCACCCCCTGTCTCTTGTGAGTCAGCATCCGCATATCAGAGAGAACTTTCAGCCTTTGGTTTTTGGGGATTGGCTTATTTCAGTTAACATGATAGCCTCTAGTTCCATCCATTTACCAACAAATGCCATAATTCCATTCTTCTTTATGGCTAAATAATATTCCATTGTGTATATGTACCACAATTTCTTTATCCATTCATCTATTGAAGGGCACCTATGTTGGTTCTATAGCTTAGCTATTGTTAATTGAGTTTCTATGAATATTGATGTGGCTGCATCACTGTAGTATGCTGATTTTTAAGTCCTTTGGTATAAACTGAGGAGTGGGATAGCTGGGTCAGATGGTGATTCCATTCCAAGTTTTCCAAGGAATCTCCATACTGCTTTCCATAGAGGTTGTACCAATTTGCAGTCCCACCAGTTTGTCTTTTCTTTTGTCTTTCCTCCTTTGATATCATACCTAAGAAGCCATTGCCTAATCCAAGGACAAGAAGATTTATAGTTTCTTCTTGTTACTTGCTACTGGTTTATCTCTTCATTCTTTTCTGATCAGAAGAACATGTTTCTGTGGTTTCAATCTATTTAAATTTATTGGGATTTGACTCATGGCCTAATGTAGTTTATTTTGGAGAATTTTCTATACGTACTTGAGAAAATTGAGTATTCTCCTGTGGTTGGGCAAAGTGGTCTGTTGACATTTCTTAGTTGTGGTTGGTTTTTAATGTTAGTAGACTCTCCTGTTTCCTGGCTGATCGTCAGTTGGGTTGCTCTGTCCATTGTTGAGAGTGGGGTATTGAGGTCTCCAAACGTGATTGCTGCATTGTCTGTTTCTTCCTTTGTTCCTATCAGTTTTGGCTTTGTGTATTGCTGTGCTTGTAAAGTTTGTTATTGTTATGTTTTGTTGCTGGCTGACCCATTTATCATTATAAAATGCCCTTAACACTCATTACAATAGCTACTATTAAAAAAAAAAAAATACAACAAGTGTTAATGAGGATATAGAGAAGTTGGAATATTGTGCACTTTTGGTGGGATTGAAAAAGGATACTGTCCTTACACTGTATGTATCCTTGAATGAAGTTTCCTCCAAAAATTAAAAACAGAGTTGCCATATGATCCAGTGATCTCAGTTCTGGTTTTATATGCAGAATTGAAAACAAGATCTTGAAGCAGCAGCACTATTGACAGTAGCCAAGAGGTGGAAGCAACCCAAATATCCATGGATAGTTCCAGTTACGTGTGCTTCTTTCCTTATTAGACTTGAGTCACTGTCTTTACCCCTGCTTTCAGCATCCAGCTTGAAGGACTGCTGTAGTATCATTTGTACAGCATATCTGTTAGCCAAACAAAACCCTAATCCATCAATGATCAAAGTCAAATTTTGATAAAATGTGTTAGACAAAACTGAACTGTCTTTGTGTTCTTTCCATAGGAAAGTGTATTATTAAAGTGAATGTTATGAAACTGTTGACATGTTAAAATGGGTTTGTGGCATGACTTCTACATTAGGAAACTTTGAAAACACATTTCGACACTACAAAAATGTGTACTTAAAACTGTCATCGATCCTATAGCTGCACAACTAGTTGGACAAATACTCCTGTGGAACAATAGCACACGTGAGACTGAAATCACTAGGGTCATAGCAACGTCCATTATTGGGAATTGTTACAGGGAAGCAAACGTTGAAGCAAGAAGACATGGAGGGATTGAAGGGTCTAATGCTGTGGTAAACATATTTTTGATGCTTTTTGGATAGTAGTTATTTATACCATGTAACAGTTCATATTTCTTCAATACTGTAATGATTATCATCTGCAAATTTAACATATTTGTTATATAGTTAGTACACTGGTACCAAGATGATGTATTTTTTGGCTTTTCTTACTTTTCCTTATTTTGAAGGATTTTAGATTCATGACTCTTCCTGACAATCTGTTACCCTGACTCCTCACAGCATCTATTTGTAAGAGTAACTGTCAGGGCCAAACCATCCAGATTTTCTGACTTAGTTTTAATTTTTTCAAGTGCCAAACTGTAGGGATTTTTTTTTTTTTTAAACTACAACTTGTCATATTCAATACTTCGGCTGGACAAAGGTGATTTTTTTTTTCTTCTTTTTTTGTAAAAGCTCATAGAAATACATGAGATAGTGACTTCAAATAAAGTAAAAAGGACCATGTCCTCTCTACAGAACATAATATTTGTATGTGATTTTTATCTTAACAATTAAACAGTACATGTTCATCATTAAACACATTTGTAGGGAATTTAGTTCAAGGATCTTAGTGATAATATTCATGTGTACTTGGTAAGTTTGCAGAGTTTACTTCCTAATTTGTTGTAAATGACTTTTTTTTTGTTACCAGGGATTGAACTCTGAGCCACATCCCCAGCCCTATTTTGTATTTTCTTTAGAGACAGGGTCTCACTGAGTTGCTTAGTGCTTCGCTTTTGCTGAGGCTGGCTTTGAACTGGCGATCCTCCTGGCTCAGCCTCCTGAGTCACTGGGATTACAGGCCTGTACCACCACACCTGGCTATAAATGGCTTTTTTACATCTGCTTTGCTATCATCTGTAAAAGGGAAGTGTGTCATTATCTGTGTATTGATCTCTTATCCAGCGATTTAACCTGAAACTTGTTTGCATTGGTTTCATTCATGCCAAACAAGAGTCTGAGGAATCTGTAGAAGACTTACCTCAGGTACTTTTTGTTAATGTATGGATTTAGGAAACCTGTGAAACCATTTAGGTAAGTGCCTTCAAGTTCTCCATCTTTTTGAGTTCTGCTGAATGACCTTATGATCACCACCCCCTCTTCAAGAAAATACTTGGCTAAGTTTTCAGGGTTTCTATTCGGGAAATTCCAGAAGTACCCAAGAGATCTCTCACTGTTACCTTCTGACCAGTTCCATATATTTCTCTTTCTCTGTGGGATTCCTTTTTACCTAAAATTTATTATATTTCTTATCTTAAATTATCTTCTCCTGACCCTCTCGCTTCATGTTGAATTTTTCTCTTAAAATAATGGCTGTGCCCCAAGCTGCCGGTTTCCAGGTACTCATGATTTCCAACACCCTGCAGTCCAGCTCTGTCCTTGCTGCTGCTTGAATAGCAGTGAGCACCCACAGGGCCTTTCCCTCTGCCTTCTGAGTGTCTCAGCTTTTGGCATTTGGTTTGCAAAGTGCACATGTGCAGGCTACACACTTTTAGGCCACTCTCCTGACCAGCGAGTGGTCTTTCTCTGTTTTCCATGTCATCTTTTCATTTCTGTGACATTTCTGCTAGATTTCTCATTTAGTACTGTTTCACTCTGCAAATGTTCTTTTGCATCCTGCAGTGTTTTTCCTCCTGACTTTTCTGTTAAATTTCTGTTTTATCTATCTTCTTCTGACTCTTCTGACTATGGGTATATCCCAAGGATTGAGTTTTTGGCCTTGTATTCTTCAATTTGTATCCTTACCCACTTCTCTTACTCATTGAAAAGAGTCTTCAGTTTACTCTCGTTGTATCTGTGTAGATCATTCCCATATTGCTATATCCAGCCCCTTGTGACTGTCTCAAATCTTAAATCCAAGTGGCTGTCGGGTGTCTTTATTTTGTTAACCTAGAGATACACACCATTTTGAAAGCTAAATTTTTAAATGTTATTTTCTATTTGTTTTTTCTTATTTTTATTAGACATAATAATTGTGCATATTTATGTGGTGTATTGTGCTACATGCATACAAGGAATAATGAGCAAATCAGCATAATTAGCATTTCTATCACTGCACATTTGTGGGGGTTTTTTTTGTGTTGGGAGCATTCAAATCCTCTTTTCTAGCCAGATCTTGTGGTGCATGCCTGTGATCCCAGAAGTTTTAATCCCAGCTCTCATCCTAGCAGCCCCAGACTGAGACAGGAGGATCTCGAGTTCAGCCTCAGCAACATTGAGGTGCTAAGCAACTCAGTGAGACCCTGTCTCTAAAGAAAATACAAAATAGGGCTTGGGATGTGGCTCAGTGGCCAAGTGCCCCTGGGTTCAATCCCCAGTACCGCCCCCCAAATCCTCTCTTCTAGCCATTTTGAAAAATGTAATAAATTATCATTGACCTTAGTCGCCCTACTATGCTATATCTTTTATAACCATTAACCAGTCTTTCTCTATTCCCCTTACTACATTTCCTAGCCTCTGGTAATCACTGTACCTCTCTCTGCTTCTGTGAGGTCCACCTTCTTAGCTTCCATATCTGAATGGCTTGTTTCACTTAACATAGCACCCTCACATTCTGCCCTTGTTGCTACAGTAATCGGATTCTTGTCTGCATATTTATTTTAATTTAAAATCTCTACTTCATATATGTGCTAGATTTGTGCAGGTACTTCCTAGCCTATCTAAGGAACTCACAACTAAGTGTCAGCATCATTTGGTCTCCAGGCCCAGCCCTCTACAGTTTGTTCCTCTTCTTACTTCATCTCCTGTGTGGATCTCTGGTTCTTGGTATCTGGAGGACTCTGCTAACCATGGCCATACTACCACCTGTGACACCCTACCAGACCAGTTTCCTTCCAAAATTGACTTGTGTTTTTAGCCCTCACCAGTTAGAACATAATTTTTATTATTTAGATGTCATTCAAGAGGATCTTAAGAAGAAAGTAATCTGCTGACCTACATTCAGCAGATTATCTAGCATAAAGAAAAGACAACTTTGTGTTGGGGATAGAATATTCAAGTCCAAACTAAGGAAGCTAATAGAAAATATAATTAAGTAAATAGTAATTGTAGGCCATGATAATGGGATGGATGGGGATGACAGATTGCTTTCCCCACCTCAGCCTTAGGATCTGTGAGCCTGTATGGAGAAGTCCTTGTCAGATGTGAGGTGCTCTTGTGCCTCTCAGCCCCCTGCAGCTGCTCTTCTGGGAAATGAGGGGGAAGATTTGATGCAGTCTGCCTCTGCTCTCCCCCTCGGTGCCTCTCCTGTCCAGCACGTCCCTTGGAGCACTTCAGGTGAACTTCCTAAGCTCTTTTCAGCTTCCCCTGGCCGCTAACCTTCACTGTGTTGGCGTCCCCTCAGGTGTGCTGCTCCTGTGACACAGGGCAATGGAAGCCTTCAGTGGGGAATGGGTCCACCTACTTCCTTGGGAACACAGAGGGACAGGGCCAGCTAAACACCTAGCTTCCTGTACCCAAGTCACTCTGTTAACTGCCTGGGCTGGCCTTTAACTCCTGGCTCAAGTGATCCTCTTGCCTCAGCCTCCTAGGGTAGCTGGGACTATAGGTGTGCACCAACACACCTGGCTATGTGAACTTTTAATATGTATCCAGGAGCAGTTGTTAAGACTAAGGAATAGTTGTTAATATTGCTCCCTGAGGTTAGAATAATTTTAAAAATTTCTTTAGAAAATTTGGAATTGCAACTTGTATGTACAATTATAATGGGAATTGGCTGAAGTTTTATGTACTATCTTATAATATGGTGTAGTGGCAACGTGACACGTAATTAACATATTTATAGGGCACAATGTGTACCTTACATAACAACTATGGGGTAATTAACATATCTGTTACCCCAAATATTTATCATTTCTTTACAGTAAGAACATTCAAAATCCCTTTTTCTAGCGATTTTGGAATATGTTATACATTGATAACCATGATTATCCTATGTGTAGTAGAATAGTAGGACTTATTTCTCCTATCTAATTGTATCCTAGACTTCTTATACATTATTTGTGACTATTCCAACATCCAGTAGTTTATTAGTAATAACAGGAAAATAACTGAATTCTTATTTAGATTCTATTTTGGTTTGGACCTAAGAATCTGTACTTTTTTTTTTTTTTGGTACAGACGATGGAACCCACGGGGCACTTACCCACTGAGTAACATCCCCAGACCTTTTTTTGTATTTTCTTTAGAGACTGGTTCTCACTGAGTTGCCTAAGGGCTCTCTAAATGGCTGAGACTGGCTTTGAACTCGTGATCCTCCTGCCTGGGCCTCCTGAGCCACAGGGATTATAGGCATGCACCACTATGTCCAGCTAAGAATCTACTTTAAATATAGTGTTTATAGTCAGGTAGTTCAGTCATAAATTAGGTTCAGCCATAAATTAATAATAATAACAAGCAAACTAGCAAGGTTTAAAACATTAGTCTTTAGAATGCATTTTGGAAAGCCCCAGAAGCAGGACAGTCTCCCCAAGTATTGTTTTATTTCACTTGTGCTATCATTAATGAGGGTTATGAGAACCTATATAGAAAGAGCTCTGGAGTCTTTAAAGTTCAGACTAGTTGTCTTTTCTTTATGCTATAAGAAGATAATCTACAATGCATCTGGGTAGAGTTTCAAGAGATGCTGCAGTAGTGAAGACAGCTGACAGTGGTCTGAAGATGTTTTCAGTTGAAGGAGGCAGTTGGCACACAAGGCTTGAGAGCCCTGAGCTGTCATCATCTGTAGTATATGAAATCACAGTCAAAAATTGTACTTCCCATAATGTCAGCAGATTGACAGCCCCTAGTTAAGAATTATTTCTGCCTCATGTAAAGGAAGTCCAGCTTAGTGGCTCCCCCAGGGAGAAGCTGACTTTCCCCACATCCTAAGTGCTCTGAGGCAGGCTGTGCACAGCTGGTGTGGGGCACCATCTGCCCTTCTGCTCCACCATCCTCAGGGCACCTGCATCCTCAACTACATGTTCCAAGGTGACGGCTTCAGGGGCAAGGGAATGATGGGATAAAAGTCACACCCCAATGTGATACAGACTTAGAAATCCCCAGTAGATATCTTGTGTCTTGGTGGCTTCAGCTATGTTACCATTCTTCTCAAGAGAAACTGTCAAGTAGTTTTTAAGGTGAATATATTGCCTTCCCCCACTAATTGGGGGTTTACGCTTTAGGAGAAAGGAGAGAATGGATGTGGTATAATCAACTACTTGGAAATGATGTATTCTGTAGTAGCCAGGCCTGAGATCTGCAGTACTCTTCTTAACTCTCTAATATCGCCATTAAAATGTGACTGCATGTGGACCTGACCCCAGAGAATTCCTCTGGGCTCCTTTCAGTCTTCTTGCTGTGTGTTTGTTTTGACTCCCTTGACACTAATTAATAACTGACTCCTGGGCTAGGAAGGATATAGCTCAGTGGTAGAGTATTTGCCTAGCATGCATAAGGCCCTGGTGTTGCCAGTACCACAAAAAGAAAAGAAAAAAAAGACTGACTTCTTTCTCAGACTTGTAATAATAATTTTCTTACTTTTTTGCACTTACTCATACAGATCCATTTTGGTCAGTGGATTTAGATCTTTGTTCACATTCCAGTAAATGTCCTTTTAAAACTTTTCATTTTGTAGCCTACTGTTGTGCTGCTACATTTTGACTGACATTTCTAAATTTTACACAGGTGATATTCTTGAATTTCATGGTCCAGAAGGAACAGGAAAAACAGAAATGCTTTATCATTTAACAGCACGATGTATACTTCCAAAGTCAGAAGGTGGACTGGAAGTAGAAGTCCTATTTATTGATACAGATTACCACTTTGACATGCTTCGACTTGTTACAATTCTTGAGCATAGACTATCCCAAAGCTCTGAAGAAATAATAAAATACTGCCTTGGAAGATTTTTTTTGGTATACTGTAATAGCAGCACCCAGTTACTGCTCACACTGTATTCACTAGAGACTATGATTTGCAGTCATCCCTCTCTCTGCCTTCTGATTATAGACAGCCTGTCAGCTTTTTACTGGGTGGACCGTGCCAATGGAGGAGAAAGTGTTAATTTACAGGAGTCTACTCTGAAGAAATGTGCTCAGTTCCTAAAGAAACTGGTAAATGAGTATCGCCTGGTTCTTTTTGCAACAACACAGAGTATCATGCAGAAAGCTTCACACTCTCTGGAAGGGCCTTCTGCCTCTAGTCGCCCATGTGATGCTGATACAGACTACAGACCCTATCTCTGTAAGGCATGGCAACAAGTGGTGAAGCACAGAATATTTTTCTTCAAACAAGATGATTCTAAAAGCAGCAGCCAATTCTCATTAGTTTCCTGTCATTTAAAAAGTAACAGTTTAAAAAAACATATTTTTATCATTGGAGAAAGTGGGGTTGAGTTTTGTTGAGATGCATCATAAAATAGCCTTTTGTAAGCTACAGTGTAAGTCTTAAAAGGTCTTTTATAAGCTAAAGTGATTTGATTCTAAAGTTTTAACCTCAGGGAAATAATTTCTTAAACTAGTACAGTACTTCAGACGATTCTGTTTCTAGGCCATTGAAGATCAAACAAAGTGATATTCACAATTAAATTGTTTTGAAACTAAATAATATGCATATTTCAGAATAAAATGGACTTTTATAACTTTGTGTCACATTTTTTTAAATTCATGTAGGTACTTAATTTGTTTGGCAAAGTTTAAATGTATTGCTCATATCTTATGTAACTCCATTATAAAGCTATGACTTTAGAAATTCTGTCATTAGAGATACCTTATCATCTACCTTCCATACCAAGAACTATGGAAGGCTGGAACATATTTTGTTATTATTAAGGTGGTGTCTTCCTATGTTGCCTGTGCTTGCAAGACTGGCATTGGACTTGGGATTTTCCTACCTTAGCCTCCTCATTAGCTGGGTGTACAGGTGAACACCTTAACACCTAGCCAACTAGAACATTCTCATCTGAGCTACATTGAATTCCACAGTGGACTTAGATAAGGTTGGGTTTCTGTTTTAATTCTTCAGTTCTGGGAAATAAGATACCCATTTAAGAACTCTTTGAAGTTTATTTTGAAATGTTCATCTCATTTTTATTAATAGATGCTAAAACTATATTAGACTTATTTGTTAAAATAGTCAGATATAACCAGGTGCAGTAGTTCACGCCTGTAAACCCATGACTGGGGAGGTAGAGGCAGGAGGATCTCGAGTTCAAAGCCAGCCTCAGCAACTTAGCAAGGCCTTAAGCAACTCAGTCAGACCCTGTCTCTAAATAAAATGCAATTGAATCATTTCCAGTTAACAGCTGGAGAAAGTTTTAGTATTCTTTGGTGCAGTGAAGATGGAATAAGGATATGCAAGACAAACTGTGGAGGAAGACAATTCTAGGAATTCAGTTTATTTTAATCCAAGAATAGATCTAATTATACCAGTATTTGGTATTAGATTGACCATGGTGGTCTCCTTGGATCTATATGCCAGAATGAGATGTGTCGCAAAGGTATCTGAATTACTCTAGGGAAAATGGGAGGGATCGACGCTATGTTCTTGTACATTCATTTATGTGTTACCTGTTCAGTTACAATAATTTATAATACCTAACTGTAAGTTCACTTATCAAATGAAGGGGTTTTTTTCCCCCCCGAATTGAAAAGAATACTGCAAAAAAAAAAAAAAAAATGAAGATCACATTTTTTATAGTGCAGACATGGCCAATGTAACATGCTACCTGTGCCCCATCCCCATGCTCTGGGACACCTGCTGTTTCCAAAACCCCAGGGCTTCTGGGGGTGTCTTCTGGATGCCAAAGACTGCTGGGCTGCATGTGAGCAGCACAGACAGACTTTAACCAGTGAAGGGGAGGATTCGGGGTATAAACACCCAACTTCCACAGCACTTAGTGGGAGAACTCGGGCATTTCTCAGGGTGGCTGCAGTTGGCTGGACTCCCAGTTGCTTACAGCAGTAATCACAAACATGTGGTTTATCACCATCCTCTCTTCCCTCTCTCACTTCCCTCCCTTCTCAGGGGCTTCATGGGATTGTATCCCTCATCAGTAAGAAATGCTCATCTGGAAACTCCTGCTGGTGAGGGGGAGCTAGACTTTCAGCAAACAGTAACAAGTTGTCAGACTAACAGCTTCTCCAGCATTTGCCCTTCAGCCACATTATGAAATTGAAAACAAGGGCAGTCTAATTGTCACTCAAGCTAAATGACGTTGGATCACATGGTTCACATCCACAGGTTCTTATTGTTACTTTTAACCATTGGTATAACTTCAAGCATGATATTTTGCCTATAGTTTGTCCTTTTCCCATTTCTGATACATATTTTTATTACATGCAAAACATGTTACACAATAACTTATAAATATTTATAAGTTGGGGTCATAGACTTGTTTTCTCCCCAGGTCGATGTGTGCGATCAGTGAAATCTATTGCTCTACTATAGAGTACTATTTTTTTACTCATAAAAGATAAAAATTTAGTCACCTTCCTCTCACGCTGTATAGTCTGGCATGGTGCGTGTGTATGAGAGAGACCAGTGTATATGAAAAACTTAGCACGTTCTTAGCAGAATTCTAGCCTTCAATATGATAGGATTTTCCATTTATTTCATATATAAATGAAGTGATAATTTAATGGACTATTGTTCACAGATTTATAACTTATTCTTCAGGAACATGATTAAAAGATAATGAACTTTTGTATTAAATCATCAATTGTATATTAATGTGTCAGATGAAAGACCTAGTTATCTTACAAAGATTTGCTTTCTTACCTGATGGAAGGAATTAAGAATACTGGTTAATAAAAAATTCTTTTAAACTAGAAGTTATACTAATGGACTTTGTGAAGACTATAGAAATGCTATTTGTAAAAAGAATCAGGCTTAAGAGAAAGAGAAATGACATATTGTAAATTATGTGGAGAGCAAATACCGGGATCCTGGATACAACCCAAAGAATAATAGAAACAAGTGGGCAAGAGGTTGTAAGTCTTGAATATTTATTGCACTTATTTATCCTATTTACCTGTCCCCACTTATCCTGCCAAATTGAGGGAATCCTAAAATAGAATATTTTTAATACTTTAAAGAAAAATATTATAAGAAGTTCTTATAAACAAACCTTTCTTAGGGTTGGTATAAGAGGCTGGTAAAGACAGTGTATGTGAAAGATAGTTCAGACATTCATAACTGCTGTAGAAAATTAAGAAGGTGTTTACCACTTCACTTCAAATGTAAAAAGCTCTCAGCTTTCAAATACAAAGTACTGCATTATAAATAATGAAAACTTTTGATGCAGACTGCTGTGTGGATTATCTAAGATGAGGGTAAGAGAAAGACATTTTCAGATGAGCACAAAATATATCACCAAAATTGCCTCACTAAGGAATTTGTGAAAGAATACTTCACAGGAGAATTATCCCAGAAACTGTCTGAGATGTTCGAAATAATGGTAAGTAAAGTAAATGGAAATCACTTGAAAAAAATCTAAAGAACATCGATAGCATAAAATTATAATGTCTAATTTGTGGGAAGAAAAAACAAAAACTCAAGGTAATCTATTGCTTGTAAGCCTAGAGCATGTAATTTTAGGTAATTAAATGTTTAACCTAAAAATCTTTTTCTGAGGAAATTGAAAATGTGGACCAACTTTCAACATACACACACACACACACACACACACAACTTATTAAAAAAATTTTCTGTTACTAGTGATTGAACCCAGGATCACTCTACAACTGAGCTAGGACCCTGGACCTTTTGATTTATTGATAGATTGATTGATTGGTGCTGTGGATTGAACCCAGGGGCACTCAACCACTCATCCCCAGTCCTTTGTTATATTTTATTTAGAGACAGGGTCTCACTGAGTTGCTTAGGTTCTCACTAAGTTGCCGAGGCTTGTTTTGAATTCACAATCCTCCTGCCTTGGCCTCCTGAGCTGCTGGGATTCCAGGCATGGGCCACTGCACCCGGCCTGATTTATTTATTTTTAATTTTTGCCACGTGGTCTTCCTGGCAGCTTAGCCTTGATTAAGTATGAACTTGAGAATTTGAAGGGCTGCCTTTAAAAGAAACAATATATGTTCCAGTAACATACTGAGGAAACAAAAAAGAACTGAGAAAAATAATGAACAAATGCACTGAAGAAAAGGTAGTTATAACTAGCACAAAGTAATATATGTAGAAACCAATCCAATTGTAAAGGACTGAGCTCTTTCACAAAAATCCTTGGGTCTTTAAAGTGGATTTTAGCAGTCCTCTTAGCTTAAAAAAAAATAATGACTTCTAAACAAAAGATAACAGATGTTGAAATAAAAAAAAAATTTAAGATACTAGAAAAATACCCAAAGGAAGCAATTGTAGTTGTATAAATAAATTTTAACTGTAGTAACAGGTTAATTTTCCATTTTAAAGATCATTACAAATGGCAGAAGGTTTGATTCATCACTTAAGATACCTTCAAAAATAAAAGCTAGAGCCGGTGCAGTGGCTGTACTCCCAGCTACTCAGGAAGGACAATTGCAAATTCAAGGTCAGACTGGGCAATTTAGAGAGACCCTGTCTCAAATAAAAAGGAACTTGGAAACAATTTTTTTAAAAAGAGAGATTTGCTTAAAAAAAAAAAAAAAAGATCAGGGAATTGGGAATGTAGATCAGAGGTATAATGCCTTTGGTTCAATCCCCATAACTGGGGGTGGAGGGGGTGGGCGGAGAAGAACCGTAATTAGAAGTTGATAAAGTTCCATCACTGTAGAAATTTTGTTATACTTTTTGTACTCAGAAGTCCAAGCAGTTAAAATTGGCCAAGGACAGAATCTAAACATACATAAAATTAAAATTGATCTGCTAGATGCAATGACCCATGCCCACAAATTCAAGATTAGCCCAAGCCATTTAGCAATACCCTATCTCAAAATCCTGGATTTAATCCCCAGTACAGGGCAGAGGGGATTTGATCTAATGAACATGTGTAGAATTCTGCATACAGAATAAGAATGTATGTTCTTTTAAACATCAAAGGGAGATTTATGAAAACTGATTCCATATCAGTGCTGTAAGAAAACATCAAATTTAAAAGAATCAGTATCGTGGAGACCCTTTTTCTTGATCACAAAGCCATTGTCAGAAGTCAGTAACAAAGACTCCAAATTTAGAAAAAACTTAAGTGGGGGCTGATAGCACATGCCTGTAATCCAGCAGTTTAGGAAGCTGAAGCAGGAGTGTTAAAAAGTTCAAGACTGGCCAGGCCAACTTAACTATGATCCTGTCTCAAGATAAAATTGAAAAGGGTACAGGGATGTAGCTCAGTGGTAGAGTGCTTGCCTAGCACATGCGAAGCCCTTAGTTCAGTTCCCACTATAAAAAGAAGAATGGGCTGGGGTTGTGGAGAGCACTCTCCTAGCACATGTGAGGTCCTGGATTCAATCCTCAGCACTACATAAAAATTAAAATATTATGTCCATCTACAACTAAAAATAAAATATTTTTCAAAAAGAAGAAGAAAATTGTGATTTCTCCCTAATAGGCTAATAGGTAAAATTTAAAAAAGAATCAAAATTAGAAAGTATAAGTGATGCTGGTGACTGACATTACAATACCTGATCTCAAATTTTACTACAAAACTATAGTAACGAA